TGGCAAAACACAGAGAATGCCAACTAGGTACTAGAATGCTTAACTGGTTACCCACAAAACCGGCGCAGAAAAAAACCCTAAAAAGTGTAAGAGTGTACTCCGAAAGCACCAATCTGATACTGCAGCGCTCACCGTGACGATCTGTCCGTTGAGCTCCGCCGTCATCGTTGAGGGGCGGGGCTTCCCACTGAAGAGGCTGTGGAAGGTCTGCATCGCTGCTGCTGTCACCAGCTTGAAGAGATAGGAGAGGGTAAATGATATGTGGGTGAAGGAGCAGGGGCATGGATATCCTGGCAGATTTACAGTGACCCTTGAATGTGTAAAATTATAAGGGGTGCGGGGTTACAGAATTTCTAGCAACACTCTTGGTAAGGACACAAAAGGCACTTTCACACTTCACTTCCCGAGCCTGGTCCCGGTTTACAAGTCCCTGGGCCGTCTAGACCGGGAACTTTGCAGCTTGTGGCCACTTTCGTGTGTCGCTCTCACACCACATAACAGGAACTGGGACCATTATGCTAAATAAGCATGGGAAGTGCAAAAAGCTCGTAGGTTAAACTTCACATGTAATTTTATACGAAACTACACTGCCACAACAAAAATGAGAGGATAAATAACTTTTGTTAGTTATTTGTCAATTATTGGCGGGATCGATTACTATCAAAATCAATATTTATATTTATATAATATATGATTCATATATATGATATATATATGAATATAATATATATGTTTATGATTCTTACTAAACCTGGCCAGCAGATCAATCTTTTGTATTCCACAGAATAAAAAATGATGTAACTTTATCCAGCTAATAAGCACTGGCACGATTCAACACAGGTACTAGCAATATCAGACAAAAGTAAATTTTCTGCATTTCATATGCAGAAATATAGAGACGCAAGCAAAAAAATATATATTAACTGACGCATTAAATGTAACTGAGGAACAGAAATTATTCCTTCTGCTCAATTTTTGCTCCCCTACTTCTCTTTTACCGCACTTCTGCATAACTTCCAAGTTAGCACTGGTGCTTGTGATCAATCAATCAGCAAGCTATCACTGTAAGCACCTCCCAGTAGTTTGCACTTCAATGAAAAGTACCTAGTCTGGAGCAGGTACTAAAAAAGGGGTTCCAGAACTGCCTCAGAGTAACTACAGTTGGGCCGAGTTCCTGTGGTGTGAACATGTCAAAAGTTCCTGGTTCCAGGAAAAAGTTCCTATGGTGTGAAAGGCCTAGAAACAGTCCTTCTGTGTACCAATGATAGATGGACGGGGAATACAGAATAAAAACAATGAAATAAAATAATAAAGACAAGTGCAGAAATGTGACATATGGCCAGGAGATGGCGGTGTAGGACCACTCACCACATGACTGAGCGTCATCACGCGGAGTAGCGTCTCACAGCACTGCTTCACAGCACTGACCGGAAGCCCAGTCACAATGTCCTTGAGCAGGCCCAGCACGTGCAGTGTAGTGGTGTCCTCTTTACTGCCTGATAAGACAACAAGACTCAACATAAGGCTGCGGCCCAAAAAAGTACTGCAGCCCAAACACAACAGGCTCGGAGCCCAACTCCCAGCACATCGCCCACCTCCTGCCTCCTCTATCTCTTTAACGCAGAACTTGGCCGTGTTCGTGGCCGCAGGGTGATGCGAGGGGGCGGAGTCTTTGAACAGGAAGTCACTCCCCTTCAGGATGGCACACACACCGTGCTGCGCAGCTTTACGCACCTGCACAAGGGAGAGGAGGCTCATTCTAGACAGAAGTATCATTCTTGAGGCTGTGCTTAGAATCAGCACGGTTCACTGACACTATGTTAAAAGTGCCCCGGTACCAGACCGGAGCATTATGGGAAATATGGGGACACTGGCCTTAGGTTTGGAGTGCACAGTGAAGCTCAGTAAACCGTGGTAGATGTGCATGGTGGAAGGATAAGCCCAGACGGAGAGGTCCTGTTTCCGCAGCAAGGTGGCCATACAGGACAGGACCTACATACGGACACACACAGGCCGACGCATCAGTACACCCGGGTCACAGCAAGCCGACCTTTCACATGAATCACCATGCTAGCCCCACCCAGGGACACATACCCAGCGCAGGGCTGAGGATGAATCTGCAGTAGCCTGGGAGGATATAACGTTCATGAAGGCCTTGGCTGTATCGGAAAACCTCTTCATCAGCACTGGACTCGGCACTCTGGGGAAGGACAGTCGTGAGAAAGTGGCAGGAGCTCCTAATGATTCTCAAATCCCTCTGGCGACACGGCGTCACACCATGAGCTCACTCCAGTGCGAAATTTCACAAAGCTCATGAGGATGCCCACCTTTTCAGGACCATGTTCAGCAGGTAGGCCACTGCAGCCAGAGACTCACTGGTCTCCACAGCCTCCAGGGTGGTCATCTGGCAGCACAGAGAAGCAAAAGGCTTGTTACACCACTGTAAAGCCTGAATTAAACGTCTTTGTCGAGTCTACGCTGTGACCCATACAAGTGGCCTATGCCATCGCGAGCATCTATACTTAAGCGTCGGTGTGTCTGTGTTGCTCAGCAATTACACGACCAAAACGCTAGGTGATATATATTTTTGGAAGATGCATTTATTGTCTTCCCTTCCTGCTATATATTTAATTGTTGAATCATGTAACTGAAAAAGGAAAAAAAACAAACATTTATAGAGTTCTGATTACATTTGTGATCCTCCGAACTTCCTATAGACAAATACGGAAAAATGATGAGCCACTACAAAGTCACTTTTTTGCATCTTCTAAAGTTACTATCTACTTTTTATTTTATTATTTTGTCTTGTAAAGTACAAATAAACTTAATTTAAGTAAGTGAAACTGGTGCTGCCATCCTGAGTGTTTTGCAGAGCTGCTGCTACGATGCCTGGGGTGAGTTATTTAATGCTATACAAATAATGCTTTTTATTTAATATTTTATGCTATATATTATTTAATATTTAATGCTACAAAAATTTAATTTAAGCATCATTATTCCCTCAACCATTCAAAAATGTAATGCTTCAGTTTCAATCAGCGATATAAGTACACCTGGATTGCACGCTTTCTTCAATCCCATAAAATAACAAACGCTACTAAGCAGACCAATTACAGTTCTTGCGGTCTGCATCACTGCTTTGGTGTAGAGTTCACAGCTATGCCGTACTTACAGCGTTGATTCACCAGACCCTGGGTGCTGTACCATCAGAGCCAAAGTACCCACAGCACATAAATGGAAAATCAGCGGGTACAAAAGCACTCACCAGAGCCGCAAAATACTCTGTCTCTGTTTCCTTCCCGCCCTGGGAACGGATAACCTCGGTGACTGCTGCCAGAACCGCACAAATCTGGGAGCCAGAAGACAGACACAAAGCCCAGCTGTTATGAGGGTCCCGTCACTCTCAGTTAGTGCTGATTTTCACTCGAATAGCCACAGACCTCCTTATGGGCCGCCGAGTTGGACTCCCAGAAACGTTGGACCTTGTGGAAGGTGAGGTTGGAACAGTCAGAAAGACCACTCAGGAAGGTCCCAGAGGTGCGCTCTGACAGACCTGGTTGTCCTATGGAGCAGGCATCTCCCAAGTCAGGCTCTGCCTTCTCCAGAGTTCCCGTCTGAAGCTCATTGTGGAGCTTAAGTGCATCCACAGTCAAATTGCTGTTTTCTGCAAAAACATCGAACCAGTTACGGAGTTAAATATCCAAACACATCACAATCTTTTTAATAGTGGTTTAAATGTGCACAAAAACAAATCCTTTGACAATACACGCAAATGACAACACGTCTATAGCGTTACGGAGGAACTTTCATTCCATATGACACGATCGATACTCAATATCACAAGCACAGATCTATGGGGAACGGGGGTTGGCCGAAAAAGAATTCAGCAAATAAAACTTACTTTATATTAGCACAAATGTCTCAGTGACACACTTAACATAAATACATCTAAAACAATGCTGACACACGAGACATATTACGTTTTGTTTTTCTCTGTTCCTTAGAAGAAACACATAAGGCTGTCGCGGTAAACGTTATTAATACGTTTCTTGATGGACGTAAATATTTTCCAAGCTTGTTACACAGTTATAATTAAATATAAGTATATTTTGAAACAGACATGTTGAACTTTTTTTTAATAGGTCAGGCTGAACGACAGCAACAACTATACAGAGAAACTCATAACGCAGGCAGCTTTCTGGGATCCGACCCCTTGCTGTGTACCCACGTGTGCGGCGCAGGCCCAGAGCACAGCGCTTTCCTCTAGAGCGCGTCCGTCTCCTTCAGCTTACCAGTCGGACGGCTAAAGAACCGGCTTCTCGCTGCCTGACGATGTCGGCTGATCTGCGGGTTGGAGTCGCTGCTGTGTCCCTTTTTCCATCGCTTCAGTTTCTGTGCGGTCCCAGACCGAAGTTTTCCGGATTTCACCATGATGCCTGGTGAAACTCGGATAGGTGAATGCTAGGATAACGGGGGAACAGCGCTGCGCGTGGACCATGCAGCCGGATTGTCGCGATGACTTTGACGTCACTGTGTGCCATATGCTGCCCTTTAATTCTCTGAGCCACACGGGGGCGCCACGTTATGTTTTTTTCTATCACGCCACACAGAACCTAAAGCGGACCGTGTGCCCCTTTTGTTAACAGACGATCATACAAAATTCTCAACAATTCACCGAGAACCAACAAATTTTACCGAAGGCCCCCCTCCACATCGCCCTTGGCCCCCTGCTGTGAGGTCCCTCCTACACAAGGAGCGCGTTTCCTTGCATCTACTTTTCGTCCTATTTTGTCTGTTCTTCTGGCTTAACTAGGTGAATTTCAAATTATTTTTAGGCGGCACAAATATTTAGAACGTGTGAAAATATTCAAATGTGGCCTAGCGCCTACAACACCGTAAATGGTAACAGGCCGTTAATAAAAGTACAATGTTATATTATAATAGTTTAAAACATGACTGAATCTGTTTAACATACATACTCACGTTCAAAAAACTACACATTAAATTTAGAAATAATCTTTTAATATTCCAGTTACATCCTTAAAGCATTCTAAACACACATGGTTGTATTCCTTTACATTTTGTCAAATGTCTGGAAACTGCCCATTGACCACCCTTTCACATCAAGGAAATAAAAGATCTACAATTTAAATTAAGCAATCTCTTTCCCTTAGTGGGTTTATCATAAAAAAGACACTACCTCAACACTTCATTCCACACACTGATGATAAAATCATGACCTTTAAGAGAAACATTTCGACACACTAACACAGGAATATGAAGTGATTATTTAATGTGAATTAAGCAGCAATGCAAATGTAGACTTAGTGTTCAGAAATGTGAAGACATGTATCGTTGTACCCACAGGACTGGACGGTTAAACAGAGGGACTCTACTTGTGGTCTGATATTCCACTTGGTTATTGAAGGATTTAATGAGACTGCTACATGCTTCAAATGTGCTATATGCTTACAGAACCACTATGTACAGTACTATTACATGACTTCAAAAATAATATCAAGTGCAATCTGTTCAAGGTATTAGGACTAGACTTGTAATGATTATGAATGTAGGTGGGCGGAAGTCCTTGACCTGCAATGCAGAGTCACGTGGAATCTGACGTACATTAATGTACATTAATGTACATTAATGTACATTAATGCCGATCTGCACACTCTACCATGTGCACTGACAGTTTTAAAGAAGTGCACTGTGAAGCTCACAGCAGAGGAAAGCAGAAGAGAACATCAGACAGTAATTCAGGAGATTCAGGGAAAACACAAGAAGTGTCACCGACACTTCATATAGATGGCTTGTCGTTTCAGCGGAATTACTGACTGCACTGGCGTGGTTTTGAAAGTGACTAATATCTCATAGATCTCCAAAGGCCAGGTGGCCCCAATGTTCCTTGATCCTTGGGGAATAGCAGCTAAGACATCGAGATATAAAACCATGGAGAACCGTGGAGAACTGTGGAGCAGAGAGGAGTGAATCCCCCAGAGCGACTGCATAGACATCCCTTCACTCATCTACCATACATCCCGAACCTGAATTGTTAGAGAAAGGGCTCAATAAGAAAAAGGCTTGGGAGTACTTTCTCCTTCCCTTCTTACACAGACAGTCGTGAACAACATCAGACTGCTCCAGCAGCCACCAGGAGTACATTCACATGCTTCCCTTTGAGATTAGCCAGCACCTGGGCCCCAGTGCTGCCTGCAGCCCACTGCCTCAGCCCTGGACTCCATCCGCTTCTCTGTCACCTGCTATTCTCTTGTTTTTGAACAAGCAGACACTTGGGGTATGCATCATAAATAAAATGGGAGGTCTCAGTACACACAGTCCCTGAGAGACTAAGGGGACAACTGGCCTGCATAGCGTGTGGGATTCCATCCCAGTGCAGTTTCTCAGAAAATTCCGAAGCAGTTTGCTTGTCCCTGGTAGCTCCACCATTTAACCTGTGCAATGTGCCCCCAAGAAAAAAGCACCACAGCCAGTCAGCCAGGAGGATCCCCCTAACCCAACCCAATCTACCCGAGCTCATTTGGGAACAGTGGGTTGGCTCACGATGACCTGGATAACAAAGTCCTTCTGAATCTTGGTGTCCTGCAGGCGAGTCTTGTCTGTGAGCAGTTTGCCCGAGAAGAACCAGCGCTGGTGAGCAACGCTGATGTCCTCCTGGGCCTGCAGAAGCTTCTTCAGCTGGCCAATGGTGTTGGCCATGCTGGCAGTGAGCCGCAGGTCCCGGCCTGTGGAGAGGCGCACCTTCAGCTGGAACTCCTTCTTGTGGGTGACCTGTGGCTCGGGCTGCTCCACCACTTCCTCCTCACAGCGCTCTGAGATCAAGTTGACAGGAGGCGCCAAGCAGTATGCTGGCAACTGGTAACGGTTACCCAGCTCATCGTAGCACTCGGAGAGAGACCCTACATGATGAACCGGCAAGACACAGGAGTTTAGCTTGGTATGGACATAAGGGATTATTAACCAATAGGGTTGTAAAATTCTGGGAATTTTCAAAGTTGGAAACTTTCCATGGGAAATATATGGGAATTAATGAGAATAAACTGGAAATCTGCAAAAATACAGGTTAGCCTATAAAAGGGAACTTAAATATAGTTGGAAAAAAATTGATGTCAAGTAAATAAAAGATCTACAATAGTGATATCATTGTGTAAACAAATGCTTCTGAGTAATTATGTGTGCATAAAACACTTAAAAATAAGCATCTGGATCAAGACACACTGCTAATAAGTCATATTCTATGTTTCATTATTCATAGTTTGCTTTCTTTGCCATATCTGACAGCCCGCACACAGTTCAATATTTCCAAAATTCCCCAGCTTAACTTTCCATAGAAAGTTTCAGGAAATTTACTGAATATTTCTGCCCCTTTGCAGCTCTACTTCTCATGGAAAGTTTCTGGAAAGTTTGTGCCCCTTTGCAATCCTATTAGCCAAACACATCATGTGAAAGCAAACTATGGGCTGACTCCGCTCCCTACCATGCGGCAGTGTGATGCTAGCTCCATCCACGATGGCCTGGGCCAGCTCGTGGTCATTGCTCTCCAGGGCTATCGCTGCCGCCCTCAGTGCATCCCAGATCTCCTTGCGGCCCTCGAAGGCCGGCGCCGTGTCCCAGAACTCATCCCGCTTGCTGCGCAGCTGGCCCTCAGTCATGGGGAACTCACTCTTCCATTTGGGCTTCTCCTTCTTCAGGGGCTCGTTGCGTCCTGTATGGAACCACAGCCAAGCAGTTTGGTCACCAGCAAACATACGGGCAGTCACAGGTGGAATCATAGCTAAGCAGTGACAGGACAGGAAAGCACAGGCCCTTTAATGCACCTGGATAAGGGGTAAGGGCTGAATGTTTGGGTGATGCTCATTCATTACTGGGGTGGACCCCGAGAAGGCGTTGCTCACGCTGTGCGAGCCTATAGCATCCTGTCTGGTGGCCAAGCTATGCATGCATTCATGGCTACATCATGCATTCCTGGCTACATCATGCATTCCCGACTATAGCATGCATTCCTGGTGAATGATGAACAAAGCTGCTGGTTTTGCAGTTATCTGGTCTTATATTTAGTGACTAATTCACACCTGGCACACAATGCCTTGAGAATTACAGTTATATAGCTGCTGACCCTGTAACCCATTTGGAGAATTTGGTGCAGTACTCAAGCTGTGCTGAGCCACCCCACTGTTTCAGATGATAGTCATTTACAACATATTAGTGATTATATTAAATATAGACTAAAACAGCTGATTATTGTAGGGCTAGTGTCAGTCACTATGTTCAGCTCCATTAATGAAGACTTTTTCAGTACATTCTAGTGATATTTAAGCTGATAATTAAATTACATCCTAAAAGACACAATAGTTTCCCTTCCTGTTATCTGAAACTCATTGATACTCTTGTGGTTACTTCTGACTAACGGAAAGCTCTACTCCCCCACAGCCCCACCCTCCAGCCCATGACAGGGAGCTCACTGTGTACAAACACTGGGCACGGTCTGCTCCACCCTCTCTAATCTCTGCTGCCATGGCAACCATCCATCCCAGGCATTGGTGAAAAAGACCTATTTATAGCACAGAAGATTACAGACAGTAATCAGGCACCACGGGATTTTCCACCATCTCCTAAAATGTCAAGGAATTCAGGGAAGGGCATGAAGCCACTGGAAGGAAGTGACTTTGTCTAGCTACTGAAAACCCAAAAAGCCAAGAGTGTTCCTCAGCCTGCACCTAGCAGACCAGACAAATACAGGCTTCTTCCCCTGAGCAGACCAGCCATCAATAAAGCACCTGCTAGTCCAGTCCCACAGATTACATTTTTTTAAGTCTGCAGGGAAAACACAGGCCATACACAAACTCACTAAACCATTGTTTCACAATCCATTCCTCGGAGACCCACAGGCAGTTCACATTTTTGCTCCCTCCCCAGGTCTTGGTAGGGAGCATAAATGTGGACCGGGTATGGGTCCCAGAGGACTGGGTTGGGAAACACTGCACTAAACTAACAAGTAAACATTACTCAGGCTGGGAGTGTGATGGAACACAGAACCAAATGATTCAAAAGGCATGTATGTATGTTTGTGTGCTCTTATTGCCATGGAAGCCATACTGAAAGGCCAATCAACACTCCTGAGTAACCTGATAAAATACCTGTCACCATGACGGAACAGGCTATTACGCTGAAGCTGACTATCGATGTGAAGGTAGCCTGCGCCTCCACAAACTCCTGCAGAAGCATCCAGTCATTCATGCATCACTAGGCCCCACCCAATCCATGGAGTTACCACATGCCTCCATCTCCTCAAGCAGCCACTCAGACAGCGAGCACTGCTATCGACACGCCACAAACAGCATCTACCATTAACTCTGTGTGTCTGAGACTCTTCTGCAGTCACGAAGCACAAATATCCCTTTTCTGTCACCGGCACGCATTGACCAACCAGCTTAACAGAGCTCTACTAAACCAGGGAAGAACCCCCACCGCTGGCACTGTTCACGTTTTTCTGACACCCTGATATACTTAGTCGAGTTAAAATAATGCAAATAAAAACAGGATAGTCGCTAACCAAGGAAAGTGAGAGGACTGCCAGGCCGGTTCTCATTGTAACTGAACGCAATTGTTTCTATTACGCAAAGAATCAGCCACAACCCAGCCATGGGCTCCCTGGTGACCCAGCCTAGCAAAGGCCACCCACCAAAGTCACTTCACATGCAAAGGGATGGAAGTTTCCATGTGCCCCGGGCGACACGGAAGAGCGTTCCGCCCCAAGGTTAAAGTTAAACAAACGGACACTCTGTCACTCAGCCCCTGGCTCTGACCCAGCAGACTGAGGAGATCTTTGAAGCTGCACTGTACATGCTACTCCACAATGAGCACCCCACCCAAACTGCACCAGCACGAGGGCCTGGAAGAGCTAGACAGACTGGAATACAGACTGCCCCAGCAAATGAAAGACCACAGAGCAAGCATGACTACTACAAGAGACCAGGTATCAATACCTTGGCCAGGTTATAGATCATCAGAATAACCAGCCTCAACTCCTAATGCGTCACACTTACCGACAAAGTAACACCACCAACACCAGATCACTTACTTTTCAGCACAACGCCAATGGTGGGACTGTAGCTCCCAGAATGGCTGACACCCATCACGATGTTCCGTAAGCAGGCAGCAGCTAAAATCCCAGTACTGCTGAAAGTGACATCCAACCGCTCCACTCCAACCACCAGGTTATAAAGCTGTCCTCACCCAAAATAAATTTACTGTAAACAGCTATTAAATCTGAAAATAGCTTACAGAGAATTCCCTGAACAGTAGGACATACCTTCTGGATCGAAGAAGTGGTAATGGTACCCTAACTCTCGGAACTACAGAGCTAGAACCCCACAATCACTCTTGCAAGTGTGCTTGAACCCAGTGACATTTGAAAAGAGGCCACAGAAATAGATCAATTTAAGCACCCGGCTGCACTGCCTATTCAGCAGACACAGTTAAACCTGCCTGCGCTTGGAGGAGCCCTGATCCCATTAGCCACACCTCAGACCAAGTGTCAAAAAAAAATCTCATGGTTGTAAAGCCTGGACACAGGTCATGGTGACCCTGAGCAAGCACTGTTCATTCACAACCAGGTTATATCAGCAAAGGAACACGGCGCACAGCAATGAGGAAAAAGGGGAATAATAATAAACAATAATGATTCCCCAAATCAAATGACATGTGGGAAACAGGGTATATAGTAGGTTTGAGTGGTATCTAATTATTCAAACTGTCAAATGGTATTGTGATGTTATTTTCAGAGGCAACACTATTCTGGTACGACGCAATCTTGGCAATAAAATTTGCTGATGGCGGGGATGGGGGGGGGGGGGGGGGGGGGGGGGGTGTTGGGGCCTCAAATGATACATTTCAATTTATAGCTTTCAGATTTAAAGATACCACAAAATACCATATTACCTTCATACCACCCAATCAGAGTTTATACTCGGGCTGGGCAATTAATCAGATTTAAATTTTAATTGTGATTTTGGCTACCAAAGATTATTGTGCCGCATCTCTTTTTGCAATGATGTTGCCCTTTTGTCTTGTGTTAGAAATCCAGCACACACCTTTCCAGGCCCTTTTCTTCTCAGTTGAATTATATTTAAAGTTGAAAGTAATCCACTGTTAAAAAGACTTTAAAAAAAAAAAAAAAAAAAATGCAATAAACGCATGATATTTCCAAGGTCAATGAGTAACCGTGATCTCAATATTGACAACAATCATGATTATGATTTTTGTCATAATTGAGCAGCTCTAGTTGCTAGGGATTTTCAAATTAAAGAGATTGTGGCTGCAGTTAATTTTATCCTGGTTTACATATCCAACTCTGATAGCCAAATTATGCAATATTATAATTATGAACTTTAGTAATGACTACTTCTCATAAACAGTACAAAGGGGAAAAAAACAATCCATCTTTTAAACACTTATCAACTACAGGGGTGGAGCCTATGCCCAGCAGCACAGGGCACAAGGCAGAGATGCACCCTGGGCATGATGCCAGTCTATTGTATACAGGGCACCTTCACACAATCAGTCAAACTCTATGTTACACAGTCTAAATGCATGTCACCGGACTACAGAAGGAAATCTGCACAATACAGGAAGATCATGGGCTTTAAAACCCCTAATCCGAGAGATGTTAGGCCACACCCACTGTGCTAGCTTACTTCTGGGGGAAAAAAACCAATGCAAGAAATATACCAGCCATCCAGCATGGTGAGCACCAGTTTTAGGTATATCAGAACGTAGTCATTCTTACTAGTGAAGACTGGTTAACAGTGTTAACAAAGAGGCATATACTGTAACATGTCAAGAGATCATGAGTACCATAACTTCAGTACCTTTAAATTCTGTGTGAAGGGACAGAACATCTAACTTACTTGGTAATTAACACAGAGGTTTCCTAATCTCACGGAGGGATGTGAACCCCCAACGGCAACACATAAGCCTGGAAAATTTACCACCAGGCCATCGACCTACGAGGCACGGCTGAAGCTTACCTCCCCCCTTCCTCCCATTTCTTCTACCGGTCCTGGATGATCTGTTCCCACCTTCTCTTCCAATACAACCTCCCATGGTTGTCAGATGAGGTGGATCCCAATCAGCATCTCAATCAGCCATGAAAGCCACACCTATTTCGGGTGATCAATCAGCCAGACCTTAAAATATTGTCATGAATCGCGCAAAGTGACACTGAACTACTTATACCTGCAGCCGACATAACAGCCAAGCCAGCAGATAATAAATAAAGCCACTTATTACCAGCACACGATTCTTACTTAGCTGACTTTTTTTCTAAACAAAAGATCAGCGATGCGGCTTCGTGTTGGTGGCTAATAATCTGTTTGCTGGCTAATTATTGCACTCCGGGGTGATGTACTTATTTCACTTGTGCACACAGCACGAACACAGCCGCTGCTGTCAGGTCGCGCGCTCTGTACATCAGCCGGCGGTCACATCTGCAGAGATGTGCGGGGGTGCAAAGCGCTGCGTAGGGGGCAAAGCTAACGTGCATTACACAGCTTATCGGCATCGTCAACCTAACTTTCGCCCTAACAGCTTTCTCGAGGATCTACCTTAATTCCCAAAAAGGTAGGTTAGCTGGAAAAGTTCGCCTTCCCGGAGACCGACATACGGCTCGCGGGCAGGCAGTCTGCTTCATGTTATTGTCCGCAAAATGTAATATGTACCTGGACGAGCGTAGAAGTCCATCTTTTGTGGGATTTTCACTCTTTCCCTGCTTCTCTCCATCCAGGCTCCCGTTCCTTTTCCTTCCTGGTGGGGGGGGGGGGCTTCGAAGCGCGCATGCGCAAGACCAGTCAAGGTGTTGACTACGGATCACCGACACAATTACGCACGTCATAGGGGGCACGTTTAGCACAGGTCAGTGTCACTTTAGCGCAATAACAAGTACAGGGTAAGCCGTTGCACAGTGCCGGACCCAGTTTGCATTTAGAACCACAAATGGTGAATTGTTTTAAAAAGGGCACCTCTAGCCAGGTTTTCGGTAGATTAAACTGCAAAATAGTGTTCCACTCCCATTTGCTCAGGAAGAATAATATAATATAAATGTATAAAAAGTTAATTTCACCACTTAGGGTGAAGATTATAGAGCATCACATGGACGTGGTATTCTATATAATTATTCACATGTAATTGTGTCGTAAAAAATACTTCAGAAAATAAGGGCTTCTTATGCGATGTCAGGCAAAGAAAAACTTTACACGTTATGTTATACTGTTCATTTCACTGTGATGAGAGACTGACAGGTGTTTGTTCCGTAAAACTGTACACGTTTGAATAACACAGGCAGGCATGCACACACACACACACAACTTCTTAATTTGTTTTTATACCATAAATCATTAACAGACCTATTGATTCAATTTGACTTTAAGGACTTATATGACCTGTCCCATGCATGGAGGTGTGTTAATCAGACAAGAGATAACCTGAAACCTTTCCTCCATAATCCTGACAAAAATTTCTCATGTCCAACTTTTTCCTGAGCTGCATGTAAACTAAGAATGAATTTTAGTCCTTTCACATGTATGGAATGTTATTACTGATCAACTGTCTGGATATACAGGGGTTAGACAATGAAACAAACACTGCCCAAAATAATGATCACACCTATATATAAGAGGCCTGGTGGCCAGTAACCAGAGACTGAAGGTTGAATTAGCAAAGCAGTAGCACAGCCTCACATAAAATATTGCAAATCCACACAACATTTGGGAGACATATCAGAGTTCAAATAGGACAAATTGTTGGTGTATCCGGGGTAATGTCGGCATGCCACCAGGAAGGATGGACCACATCCAACGGGCGTAACTGTGTGTTTACTTCCACAGATGCAAGAGGAAGCTGTCTGACAGGGAGGTCCGGGTACTAACCTGGTATGTATCCAAAACACAAAACAACAGCTGCCCAACTCGTTGCAGAATTAAATATGCACCTCATCACCCATTTCCACTAAAATTGTTTGTTGGGAACTCCACAGGGTCAGTATTCATGCTCAGGCTATAGCCAAACCTGGTCACTCGTGCCGATGCTAAACATCGGTTTCAATGGTGCCAGCAGTGCCATCTTGGACTGTGGACAATGTGAAACATGTATTGTTCTCTGATGAATCCACGTTCACCCTCTTTGGCACACCTGGGAGACGTAGTGGAAAAGCCCCCCAGAGACTTACCACCCAGACTGTTGCGTACCCAGAGTGCAGAACAGGGGTGGATCAGTGATGATTTGGACTGCAATATCATGGCATTCCCTAGGCCCACTACTTGTTCTAGATGGATGCGTCACAGCCAAGGACTACTGAACCATTCTGGAGGACCATGTTCACCCAGTGGTTCAAACATTGTACCCTGATGGTGGTTTCATGTATCAGGATGATAATGCACAAATACACACAGCAAGGCTGGTGACAGTAGTTTGATGAAAGTGGAGTTGAACATCTCACACATTCTGCACAGTCACTGGATCTGAACATTATTGAGCCACTTTGGGGTGTTTAGGAGGAGCAAGTCAGGAAACATTTTCCTCCACCAGCATCACGTAGCAACCTGGCCACTGTTCTGCAGGAGGAATGGCTCACAATCCCTCTGGCGGCTGTGCAGGACTTCTACCTGTCATTCTCAGAATGAACTGATGCTGTACTGGCCACAGAAGGAGGCCCAACACCATTCTAATAAATTATTATAGTCTAAACCCAGTAGTTTCATTGTCTGAATGGACTGAAGTATTGCTTAAGTGTCACAGGAGTGTGTACACTGCCCTCTGCTGGTCTATCCACACAAAACACGGATTCAGCAAATTCATAATCATAGACATGTAAATAACACCTGGTAAAGTTCTGATCCCACATTAATACTTATTGGAATGTTTGCCTGTGGAAGGTGGTAGTTCAGTTGGTGCTGTATTCAGTCTTGCATTGTTAGAAAGGCTACATTTCAATCCAAACTGGAGAATACCAAAGCTGTGATAAATGAGTATATGGTACCCATATGCAGCTTGTCCAGCAGCATAGGTGCCATTTGAGCGGCTGGCTGTCTACAGACAAGCTACTATTTCAAATAATCCTCCAGTTTCCATCAATTAGTTTAATATTTTTTACAAATACAGCAAAACTTCCCTGCTAATGATAAAAGTGTTTAAATAGGAGGCTGATCTGCTTCTACTAACACAGCAGATCAGATTCCCTGACCCCTTTAATATCTTACCCAATCATCGCCACCATCTGAAAGACACATTCTCATCTATACCCTGGGTCCTTTCTGAAGCCGCTTTGGAATATCTTAATCTTTTGTAGTGTATTCTGCTGGTGCCGTTTAATCCCTACATATGGGACTGTGCAGTACAAAAACAAAAAATATAACAGTGATAAAAAATTATGGAAAAAAACATTTAATTGGATCAAATACAGATCAAATACAAATAACCAGTGAAGAGAACAGTGCTCCTCATGTTCCTGCATGTGATCCTTTAATGTGCCAGTAGGAGGTGCCAACGCACCACAGTAAACAGTCACTCAGCCTCTTCTTCCTGATGACTAGGAAGCTCTTACCCACTCTCTGGCAAAGCCTCTTGGGAACTCAACGGCATGAAGCTCCCCACTAGGCCTCCAGCAAAGATGGAAGTAGACGGGTGATCAACGTCTACAGTGCTACGCATTTAGATGCGCAAGGAAAGCCCCACTCCTGAATGGAGGCCCACTGGTGCCCCTACTGGTGAGGCAAGGCAGTACAGGCTCTGCAGTTACTACCGTCTTCCCAAAGGCGATTCTGAAGGGCCAAAGAGCTGGGCATGTTTAGCACGTGTCTGTGCTCAGACCTCAATCGGGTCCTTCCTGTGCAGAGAGAGCTCCCAGGTGAGTCCATCGCCATATGGCGGGTGGCTGGAGGGCAGCAGTACACGTGTCAGCCAATGGCTGCAAGAGAGAACAGCGAGTCACTCACAGCACCTGGAACAGGCCTCCTTCCAGAGTTACTGAAGATACCGGGGCTCACCTCCTCTTCTCTACACCAAAGAACACCTTCCAGTTGGTCAGTCTGCCATAATTAAATGGATTTTTGAAAGCCTGTGGAGAAGCAACATAAACGTAGGTGTTTCTTAATATGTGTACTTGACCGTATTGTGTTCTCGTGTACCCATTTTACGTTATCTTACATTGCCAAAGACCAGTTCCAATACTGAAGAACAGAAGTACAGAGTATGGTAAAAATCCCCCAATGTCGTTCTTGCCCCATCCCAAATATCAAGGATACATCGGTTGCATCCTCGCCGAACGAGACCAATCCCATGATTCATTGTGGCCCAAATTCATTCCTGGAAGGCAAGCTAGCAAGACCGGTCTTGGTATTAAGAAACACCCACGGGTGCATTTCCCATGATGATACCTCTTAGCATCTTACGTAGACTCTAAAGATATAAGTTACGAAAGGCATTGCTTTTCCTATGTTTCCCAAACAGTCTCTTAAGAGACTGCTTAATGGAGAACTTCTTAAGTGTGACCTTAATAGGCACCAGAACACCGGATTGGTTGATTTCAATGGCTGGTGAATTGATTAGTCCCTCCTTGCAGCAACTGCTTGACTGCCGCATGAGAGAAAGTGGCGTTCTTTTTAAATAAAACGCTGCATGAATTCTTCAAAATACTGCATTAATCAGAACTGGGGAGAAGCTAAAAATAAAATGCAAAATTAACAAATTGAATCATCTAACTGTAAATAAGATTTTCGCCGACTAGGTTCACAAACCTGCCTCCCCTGATTGTAGTATCACCATTTTATTTTTGCTTCTTCTATAAAACACCTGCGTGCACCAATATGTGTGCATATCATTGATTTAGGGACAAGCAATGGTCCAATAGCAGAAAGAAAAGCTGCATTACTGTCTTAACATAAGAGAATGTACTGTGTGCTTCAGTATTGACTACTAAGGACTATTCCAGTGTGCTTTTTGGGGAAAATATATTAGATATATATATATATAAATGAACCAAAGTTCTGATATACTGTGACTTGGGCATATTTAGTGAGGTCTATGCATTCCAGGGGCATCAGAAATAGGGGAACGTCGGAACATTAAGAGACAACTTAAGGTAGAACTTAAGAATGACATAGCATTAAGGAGGTTTCGGGAAACGCACTCCATGTCTTTTCCTTTGGAAACGTGTATCGTGTATGTTTACAATAACTGTGAAACCCAGACACCTACCCTACCTTGCCATTTTTGTGCAAGCGTCGAATCTCTTTGTTGTTGATGTGCCTCTCGATGCTGGTCTCACCACGAGAGATCAGAATAGCATGCCACAGTGTGAGGCCCCCTAGGGCTAGCGCCACCGTACTGCAGGGAGGACAGATGACGAAAATTCACACACACACACACACACACACACACACAGCGTATTAAGATGTTGACAGTTCTCAGCAGTTGTATCTGTCTTATTTCTTGAACAATGAACTGCTTTAATTCCAACCTTTTCATTTAAGCTGTTTGTTTGCGTTGAATAAGCAGGATCTTGTAGAAATGACTCACCTTGTTAGCACCCACATATAAATGACGCTCTTGTGAAACATCCTGTCCTTAAAGGTAAAAGGTGGAGGTGGAGTCTTATGATAGCTCTAGAAAAATAAATAAGAATTATGCAGCCAATATACACAATTGTGTCTTCCCATATTTGGCCCGATGGACGCCTTTTGGAGCAGAACAGTCTGGGTGGTATATGGGTGTATAAGCTGGTGTTCCAGTGGACATAGTTAAGCCATTAAATGGAGAAATTTCAACAAGTAAAAAGGGACAAGTTTAAACTGATATCATTTTAAACCACGTACCAACTGAAGACTCTCTTCGACTGCATTAAAATGTATTTTTACCTGTTAGAAACCTGTTCAATATTTAGCCTATGCAATTTATATAATCATTCTATAACCTAGACTTCACAGGATTCATGAATCATTTTGTTCTGATATTTTGTCGTTTTACTTTACTAACACTGACTGATTACAGCACACCTGTGATCTACACGTACAAGTAAAAGTACATTAAAGGTAATGCGGATAACCAGCCTATACAGAGTGACAGCGACACTGAGAAACACAAACATACATTAAACGTTTACACTACTGGCAGTACAGGAGGAGTCTTCCTTTACTATAACTGTGATATAACTCTAAATAGTACTGGCAGTACAAAGTAAGGTCACCAAAGCGATCCAGTGTGTTCACTGGTTTCTGACGATGACATCCTGCCAAATCCAGAAAACAGGGCAGCCCTCACAACAGTGGACACATACTCCACATACCGACTCCTCCTAACACGCCATGGTGAACGTTTCCACATGGACACAGAATACAGGTCACGACCAGTGAGATGCAGAGGGGGTCACATTGACATAGACGGCAACTCAAAGCAGTCATACTTGGGGACGAACACATGCTTGGATGACCCCGAAATGCTGAATGACAGGGACAGCCTTCTGTCCAACATGGACAACATGGAACAGGCAAATAAAACAAACATGCAATTATCTCCATTTGGGATGACACCTTCACCTTCTCAAATAAAGATCATGTTTTTTTTTAAAAAAAAACAAAAAAAAAACACCAAATACAGGTATCCTATAAAAGCTTTCTTCCTATCTTTCCCCTCAACTTCATTTGGTCAAGCCAATTTAGGTGGACAGAATGGACAAGTGTAGTGGTGAGGTTGAGCAGATGAATCAAATTCTTCTGGAGTATAAACGCCGAATGGGATTACTGAGCAGTGGACTGCCGGGCCTCTGTAATACCTGCCCAGGTGCAGATCCAGGAGGTAGGATACCAAGAAGCCACCCAACCCCCGTCACAGGCACCCCCTGCGGCTCCACGTCCAAGCTCTTCAAGTGCTAGTGGCACAACGTGAACACAACGTAAAGAATCGTTTAACAGCAGCACTTTTAGGGATCTCTCAGTGCCGAGTGTGGACAGAGGGCGTTGTGATGCTACACTGCAAAGGAGATGAATGTGGAACTGCCTGTTTACATCTTAGCGCTCTAAGTTACCCAAGTAAAGCATTTCACAATCACACATCTAAGAATAGTTCAGCTAGGTGTATGTAGGAGTTGAATGCTGTCTAGACCGAAGTCTGTGAATGTGCAACTGAGTTTAAACCTGCTGAAGGGATGATGTTTTTGTGGTTGCTGTGATTAAGTTCCATAGTAGATGGTATTTAGCCTTGAAAAAGGCTTTTAGATTAGATGTACTTCATTGATCCCGGGTGTTTTTGAATCTCTAAGGTAAATCCACAGCTCTTCTCCACATCATGCTTAGTCAACTCACCTGTATGGCCCTGTAAGCATCCAAGAACAGGTGGCGTCCACTAATGCTGCAGTACATACAGCCCAGGGTCATGAAGAGGCAAAAGGAGAAGAAGTAGCGGTGGTTGAAGTGGCCCACGCAGTTGTTCAGCCAGGCTGAAAGTGTTGCGTTCAATTTAAGAAAGAAACAGGGAATCCCCTGGCAACAGTCTGTCCACATGATAGTTAATGGGAGCAGTGGAATGTGCATCTGGCGCTTTCTGACCAGCATTCTCCTGGTCTGTTCAAAATGGCACTATCTGTGTGAGTTACACTGCTTGTTATGTAGTTGAATTTTGACACCATGCAAGCAGCTAGGGCTATATTCACAGCAAAACCTGTGTTACATATAAAAGTTTATAATTATTAAAAAAATAAAACAACCTCAGAAAGTAACAACTTTATATACACAAACATAAATAATAGGATTAGCCGTTTAAATATGGTACCTGACATTGGTTTTATTTAAAAGAAAATCTAGAACCACCTCTGGTATTGCCTTGATAAAAACTTGACTGGAAGACAGATTTTTACACTGCTTGTACGGATGAAAGCAGGTAATGAAGTTATCAAGATTTGGTTGTTATTGTGAGCAAGCCTTTAAGCATTTCCAGGAAAAGGATACGGCAATGATGATCCATCTTCAGAATACATCTGTAGAAGAACGGGAATTTGACAAATTTGACCACATCTATACATACACACACACACACACATTAATCTTGCTTTTAACAACATGCTAACACTTCATTCTGTGGGTAAAATTACAGCAAAAATACAGCTACCTGTTGCAGATGCTGCAGTGGTGAGTTCTGGCTGGCTTTGGAATTATACACTTCTTGCAGACAGACACTGCTGGGATGTCAGATTTTACCTGAAAACATTGACATTTGCTTTTTTTAGCTACTGCTATTAATCCAAAGAGGTACAATTCAGAAAGCTTGGACCACCTGGAGGAAATTGGGTTAAGGGCTTTGCTCAAGGCCCAACAGTGAAATCACTCAGCTGATCTTTCAATCACAGGCACATCTGCCTACCCTGTAGAGCAGGGCTCTCCAACTCCAGTCCTGGAGAGCTTCTGCCAAGTAGGTTTTCTATACTACCTGGCTTCTGATGAGTCACACCTGTTCTCAGGTAAATACCAGGAACAGGTGTGGCTCATCAGAAGCCAAGTAGAATAGAAAACCTACTGTATTGTAGCTCTCCAGGACTGGAGTTGGAGTCCCCATGCAAAATTAATGTTATACCTGTGGAGGGTGCCCGGGGGATGTCTTTGTGGCCTTGTAGTAGTGGAAGACGATCATCACCAGGTTCCAGTGGCCATAGCAGATATGCCACACAATCCAGGCAATGGGGTAGGTGTCCAGCACCATGGGCAGAAGGCAGAAGTAGGCGATAATGAGGATGGAGCTGGTGAGAACCACCACCAGACACACAAAGACCTGGACCAAAGACGGGACAAAATTACAAACACAGAAACACGTGGATGGCAAAATGCGTGATTGAGGTCGACACTGACCATGCCAAACCAGCGAGTAAGATGGTCCACGATCCAAAACACAGGTTCAAAAAGGGAATCCATGACCACATCGGTGTTTGTGAGGGTGTTGAAGTACAGGGACCTGAGCACTAGCCTGCTGTAACTCCACAGATCCCGGAGGCCTGTAGGCAGCCTTAGCCGGCCTCGCCTGGGGCACAGCCGGAAGCAGCGCAGGAACAAGCGCATGGTGCTGGAGGACAGCAGTGTCAAGCGCTGAATTCCCCTCTGAAACAAACCAAATGCAGAATGTGGTTCTCCTTAAGATTTCATTACAACATGTAAAGCACCACGGTCTCAGGAACATGATCAAAATTTCTCACCTACAAGACAGCAGTGTCAAACCCCATGCCAAGGTAACCTAGAACCAAGTGCCGGTGGAGAAAAATCAACATTTCCTGAAAGGGAATATTAAATTGAGAATTATACAGATGCTTTCCTGGTTTGACTAGAATATAAGCAATTCTGTATATCTTCTCTGCTTTTTGTAAGCCTGTTAGGGTGCAAGGAAACGTGTTCCATATTATCACCTCAAACAGAATAAGAGCTCCAACAAAGTCAACATCATTTGAGTCAATATCCCAAAAGACTGAATCCTTTTGGCATAAAAAAGCTTTTTGATAAGATCCCCAAAAACTTTGGAGGATCTTTACCAGATATTGCTGGAGATACTGATTAGCTATATAAAGGCTGAGACAAGACAAAGAACCTGGGTCCCATTAGATTAAACACAGAGATGGGCAATTGGTGGCATAATATAGATGCATGCAAAATACTGTGTGCATTGTAGATGCCTGTTTCAGTCCCATAAGCCACAATATACGGAGCATTGAGGTAACTAGTTTTCCCTCCTATTTTTTTCAAGCCCTCCTGTATCTTAGCCAACATGGCCTCGACTCTCCTATCTGGAGCAAGCCGCTCAGACCTTGATGGGATTGTGGACTACACTGCTCTTCATCTGCCAGCTGGAAGCACATATGACTATCATCCAGCTCAAAGTGTCAGCAAATACTGGCTGGATCCAGGTCTCCAAATGGGGACACCATACAGATAGCTGTCCTGGGATGTTCCGTCACCAAGAGTGGAAGGGCTCAGACCCTCTGGGTCTTCTTCCCATCTTCCATCATACTGTGGGGGACGGAAGGACAAACCGCTGAGCAGTTTGTCAGACACACTGTAACCGACAACAAGCCACCATGCCGATCACTGCAGGTCACTTGGAAAACTACCTCCCACAATATATGAGGAATATACATGCTTCCTGACTCACAATCTATTTTTTTGCACAAAGATACTGGGATCTAGATAGTTGTAAAACCCATTCAGCCTTGCTGCCCTAGAAAAAGTACTTTTCTGTCCTGCAGTTTTTTTCCTGAAAACACCCAGAAAGCTTTTTCCGGATTAACGCAATAAGCCTCCAAAACACACAGGCCACTCCATCCAGCCATTACAGCACCAATGCCATCACTATTCTGCATTAATCTTCACAAAATCCTGACCAATCTCCCCTCTGTCGTCCATAAAAATGGACATCAGAGCTCAATGCACACCCTACAAGACAACAGGACCCATCTCAGTGCCAGAAAATGTGTTTAGTATGAAATTAATATTGGCAAACTGCAATATCAAGTGGACACGTTTATTCTACCGTCCACTTTTTTCACCATTTTTATTTTCAATATAATTTGAAATATTTCTTATTCCCCGAATTATCACGACTTTTTAAAGTAAATTTATAATACTTGAGTCTCATCTCTCTCCTTCCAAGGAATCTCGAATAGTTCACTGATATTTGGCTTTATAATAAATTATAGCTGTATTTATACATCAGAGTACCCACGATTTAACCTGGAATGAGCTCTGAGCCCTAAAACGATTGACTTATTGTTCATTTATCATATTAAAAAAAAAAATTAAAATTAGAAAACCAAAACACAGGCTATTAAGACAGTATAAGAGTTTGTTTCGGAATTCTATCACGAAGACGTAATTCCATACTGCCTGTAGAAAGCAGGTGGATTATTTTCTGCATCTCTTTTAATCAAACCATTCCAGCTGGTACTGACCTGACTGCCTGCATTCCTGTAAAACAATGGAATAAGGGTGTAACGCCTAGGAAAGACCTATATTCGTTGAATGGTGAGAGAAACAGCTACTTTCTCACTTTTTAGACTGCAAATCCTATCATACATGTTTTCCCATAACGATAGACTCACCATACGTAGATTTTTGATAAACGTTTTCCGAAGCACTGCATTAAAGAAAGATGCTTATATACATCACAAATCCCAGTATAGTTAAAAAGAAATAAGGTTGTCATTTTATATCTGATGCTTTGTGGAAAAAAATAGACTTCACTTCTCATCGTAACGATACCATCCGCTCAGGTCAATCGCCACTGTCAGTGATCAGACAGTTACTGTTCGGTGTAATACCGAGAGAAGAGGTACTCACTCGCTTCCGAGGGGACTCCGGCAGTCGGAAAGCAGCTGCTCAGGTCATGACAGTGCCTGTGAAGGGTTGCATCCAGCAGATTGCGACAAACAGTAATCAAAGACCGGCAGAAACCTCGATATTACAGTAAGGCGTATGTCCAAGCTACAATGTTTTGGACAAAATAAACAATTAAACCCACTTCTACTAAAATTCGTATTCTGGGGAGAAGAGTTCTGCTTCAATAAATAATAATACTATAAAACAAACCAAGGAACTAACCGTACTACACCATGCCAACACGATCAGCCCTGATCAGACGAGCAGACAAGGTGCAACGGGAAGTAACGTATGGGCGCAGGGGCTTCTGGGGAATGAAGTGCTGAACTTGCAGGCTATCCCACTAGAGCACATCTGTGAAGATGTGGTATGTCACCGTATGTGGTCGGCGACCAGTATGATTTAAACACGATATGCCGCAGCATATGAAAACATCAATGTAAATTCCTAGGGAATAGCGCCACTACTATATACTCATGCCATTAAGGTTATTGTTATAATAGGTGATCAGAATCATATCTATATGGCACTACATGTATGTGGGGAAGATAATGAAATAAGAATGCTTGCTTCTGTAACCGGGAACTGGGACTGATTTTGAATGAACTAGACAGGGGGTCTGAATTGATTTTTATTATGAAACAGGGAAGCTGTCAGCCTGATGTCTTAATTACTGACATTTGTCATTGACATGCGTCTCATGGAGAGCTAGATGGCGTAGGCGAAAAGAAGCATTCTAATGTAGGCTTACCTAGACTCGTACTTGTGCAAATGTTATTAAAGTACGATTTCATTTAATTTTCTTAAGGACAACTGTATCTGTCTGTTTACACTGTCGGCGATCCGCTGCCAACAAGCCTTTCTACGGTGTCACTCTTCGATTTTGTACTTTTGAATTCTTCGTATTTCCCAGTAATAGTTCTCTGTTACGTTGCAGTGAAACACTGGCTGCGCCCCAACCCTTGTAAAAAATAGTATAACAAAGTATATTAATAATGTGCTACAACTAAAAGTGTAATAAAAATATATTTTCTGAGTGTATTTTTTTCACTCATTTTGTATACTGTGTTTTAGTGTAATATCTATGGCTAAATGTAAATGTGCTTTAGTGTACTTAGGCATAACTGAATTAAAGTATACTTGTTTACTAGTACAGTTTGTTGTATTCTGTGTATATTTTAAAAAGTATATCAACGAAGTATATCAACGAACTTAAGCATACTTGAACTGAAGTATACTTGTTTGTAAGTGCAGTTTGTTGTGCATTTTTTTGTATATTTTTCAAAAATATATTTTAAAAAATGATTTTAAATATATTAAAGGATTTACCAGTCAAAAGTCTGGACACACCTACCCATAGAAACGGTTATTTGTACTATTCTCTGAATTTCAGAAGAATTATAAAAGACATCAAAACTATGAAATAACCAAAAAAGTATTAAACGAAATAACAGTAATTTGTTGGGGGCAGCTCTATGGTTGGAACTCCGAAGGCTGCTGGTTCAAATTCCTGGGTCGGCAAAGTGATGCCACCACAGGGCCCCTGAGCAAGGCCCTTAACCCCTGTGGCTCCAGGGACTGAGGTGGCCTCCTGGGGTACATTTCCAGTTGCCCTGAAGGAGATCCCACATGTACGCTGAGCACTCATTGGCGGCTTTTCTTTTACTCTCTGGTCAAACTCCTCCAAAACCATTTGTAATGGGTTTAGTTTAAGAAAGTGGGCCCAGTCATGTGACATGACACTATCACTCTCCTTTGTAGGTGGCTTACTGTGTCCAAACTTTTGACTGGTACTGTTTTTATTAATAATTATACTTGATGTTTCACAATATATTAACTAACATACTCTGTACCACAATATATTTTAAACTATGATTTTAACATATTAAGTAAATGTATTTCTATCCATGGGGCGGCATGGTGCTGCAGTGGTTGGCGCTGTTGCCTCACACCTCTGGGACCCGGCTTCAAGTCTCTGCTTGGGTTGCATGTGTGTGGAGTTTGCATGTTCTCCCCGTGTCGTCATGGGGTTTCCTCCGGGTACTCCGGTTTCCCCCCACAGTCCAAAGACATGCTGAGGCTGATTGGAGTTCCTAAATTGCCCTTAGGTGTGCGAGTGAATGGTGTGCGTGTGCCCTGCGATGGGCTGGCCCCCTGTCCAGGGTTGTTCCCTGCCTCGTGCCCATTGCTTCCGGGATAGGCTCCGGACCCCCCGCGACCCAGTAGGATAAGCGGGTTGGAAAACTTATCCATCTGGGAAGCTGGAGCCAATCCCCGCATCATCGGGCGAGAGGCGGAGTACACCCCGGGCAGGTCGCCAGTCCACCACAGAAATGTATTTCTAAAGTATACTTTTGAAGTTTCATTACAATGTACTGTACTGTAATGCACTGTTAAGATATAGCTTAAAAATTATGGGAGTAATGTACTTTTTACTTTTTAAATCTTACCATGCTATCAAAACATTTTAAAATATTTTAGAATTTTTATTACCTTGGTGTACCCGTGAAAATGTTTTCGCTGTTATCAAAATTCTATTTTACCCTGATGTGTACCTTTGGTTCTTGATCTTAACCAGTGTCAAACCTCCCTCTGAGTGTTCTTATTTCACTTCACCATATCTAACCCTAACCGTAACCCTGAGGGTACCGATCTGCACTAATACCTGTACGTTTTCGTTTAGTAAGGCAAAATGTTTCTTCCGATTTAGCCTTCCGTCCGCACTACCGAGGATCTTTTTCCCAGAAGTGGGAGAAATTTTTCAGCGCTATCCGACAACCAATCTTTCTGTAAATGCATTAGTGTGGACACTAATAAAGGTTAAAAAAAAATGTTACGCCTGCATCAGTAGGAAGAGAGTGAGACGTGTAGGGTCTACATTTCTGGATCATTTTGTTGTTGCTGTGATGGTTCATTTTATGTAGTCCAGTACTGTGATATTTCGCTTTTGTTAAATAAAATACGCGCATTTACTTTAAACACATGGTTGTAGGTGAGATTAAATCAACAGTCAATCTTTTATTAAAACAACTTTATTAGTAATCAAAGTCAAAATAAATTATTCAAAACATATACTTCGCCACTTATAGAATTATACAAATGACACATTGTGCTCGAGCTACAACAAACAAAATGTGTAAATAAAAGTATATATATATATATATACATACATACACACACACACACACACACACACACACACACGAACACACACACACACACACACACATTAACACCCACTCATATGCAGACAAAAACAAAGTGGACGTTTGCGATACGTGTTATATCACAGCTGGAAGAGCAGCATGGAGGTGATACAGAAATTCAAATTTGCTATTTAATATTTTATGTCAAAGTACAAAGCACCGTGCTTATTAAAGACAAATGTGATGGAAAATTTACACAAATCATCATCTCCTCCCTAAGTTCAGATCCTTACCCGCAAAGAACTGAGTAAGACAGTTGCAGCGAAGGTCCTGCGTTTTGGAGGTTTGTTTTCCTTTGATGGAACTAATTCTTCAGTGAATTTGACTTGTTTTTACACAGACCTCAACAGACCTAGAATATGAGAACATAAGAAATTTACAAACGAGAGGGATGACAGCTCTTTTTGCACCCTCCAAAAGAGAAGGCTATGGTTGAAAGTAGGCTGACCACCTAATCCATGTCAGGGGGACACTATGAGCTAGGACAGGATTTGCAAACTACTATTTCAAATGAAAAGACCTGGATTAAACTTTAGCACTGAGTTCTTGCTGTGTGCTGATTGGTCAGTCTCCTATAATCATGCATGTGTCAATAATGTTAATGTGAAACAGCCGAATGAGTCTTTCAATCAAGGAAACAAACATGTAAAAGCACAAGAATAACTGAACTAATTAGCCAAACACAGGAGCCTTTTATTTTGAAGTTTCCAGTCAGGTGGTAGGTGGTATGTTTTTGTCTTAATATAGTTGCCAAATGTGGTGTAGACATGAAAAGTGGTAGAAGCAATTAAGATTCCTTCTGCGTCACCATTACGCAGTAGCTCCTTCAGTGATGTCCACCCTTCAGCTGCAGCATCAAAATCAGCAGAAAGAGTAAGAACACGCAGGTGATTCAAGTCAAGAAATAACTATCCAGGACACTATACCGAATTGAAGTGACACTGGGGCAATCACAGATCATACCCTATTCACCCAAAATTGTATGCTGTAGTGTTTGGGGCAGATCAGCCATACTGGAGGATTGAGTTCCAAAAAAAAAATGTTTGATCGTTTTTCAAGAACAATAATGTCCACTTTTGCTCAAGAGTTGGCCGTTGTGATTTTCAGAAAAGAAAGTCCTTTGGATCCTGAAAAGGTTAATGCACTCATCAGTATGTATGAATATGTTAAAGGAAAACTTCTGTATTTTTCAGTACACACTTTATGAAAATGTACTTCCCATTGTCTTGTAAATGTTTACCATAAGCCTATTTATTATTTTATTGTTGATCAAAATAAAGAGAAACATTGCATGTGTAGGATCACACATGCACATATCACAGGGCCTAAATTCCAGGTGGCCTGAGACAAGGCCGAGCCTGGTACGAGAGGCACCAAAGGGGGGTTACACACATAAACACACACACACAGATATCAAGGGAGGCCAGCACTCCAACTTTTATTGCCCAAAGATTTAGGGACCTACAAACAAGCAGAGTGAACTTCACGGACAGAGGTCCCTCGACTTGGCACACAACCCCCTCCCCATACATTCTGCCTTACATTTCACTCACCCAACAGACAAACA